TTATTTACTAAATATAAAACAAGAATAACCAACTTTACCTTCCTCTGCTTAATTGTCATCACACTTCCCTGCAATGAAAATTGGCAAGTATTTCCAAAATTGACTGTGTTTCAGTAATATAAATAACTAGTCAGGAGATAGAATATGCCTTTTAATTTTTTTGGTAAGGCCATAATTTGGTAACATTTGCCCAGAATGGTTCATGATCTAAAGGTTTAAATGCCAAATCTCTCATACCCAACAAACTGTTCACAATTGTGTTTATTCAGAAATTTTCAGTGCATCAACACAGGGATCTCACATACAGATCTTCTCATTGAGATGCCTGTATACACAATGGTTAATCTTCTGACCTTAGCTTTTCACACAAGAAGATTGGTCTCCATTTCAGAGACTCTCTTCCCTGTTAAACCTAGCTGTTGAGCTCCCAATGCATATGGGATGTTACAGATGTAGTTTTCCAATGTCTGGTGTTAGTCTGTGTTTTTTGTTTTGTTTTTTCGCCTGTCACTGCCCTACCCCATGCAAAAATAGAATGAAAAATACATAGATAAAATAATATGGTTGGTATGCCATTGAAATGGTGTGCTACAAATCTCTGGAGTAGGTAGAGAGATTGAATGTGCTCTTCTCATCTTGTTTGATATTTTTTAAGTTTCTCAGGACTTTTTTAATTAGAAAAATATTCTAAGAACAAGAGGTTGTTTAGCATCACATCCTCTCACCACCACAGCATGGCTTACGTGAGAAGCGTCTACATCGTAGTCTTGGTTACTGGGGTACTTTTCTCCTCTGTAACAATTTATTGCTTTTGGGATACTAAGCCTTTTCTGTTTGTTTTAATTAATTGTTTATTTTGCTAATTTCTTTTGTCTTACGCCTACAGCTTTTCCCCTCTATTTCTTTTAATCATGTGTATGTGCAGAAACGATTGACATTTTCCTTTAATTAAAGAAACTAATCAGTTGCAGTGTTCCACATGTAATTTTTGAATGTTCATGATATTTATTACTTTTATATTTCTGCTAGAAATTTATGATTTTATAAATTATTTCAAAACTCAAAAAAGTTTTAGAAGACTGAAATCTTGTCCCTACATTTTAGAAAATAATAGCAGTTGTATAATGCATCTTTGACTTCTCTCCTTAAATATGTGAGGATAGAAAATGTAATCCAAATATTTTCATCCTGGTATAACAGTTCTTTTGATTAAAGAGGAAATGTTTGTTCTATAGTGAATCATAAATTATTTATAATGTGAATGAGAAAATGTTTATAAACATACTTTGGAAATAAATGGGAGTATTTATAGTAACTGGCATCTTGAAAGAAAATATATGTACTTTTGAGTGGACAGAATCATCTACTGTATGAATTTTCAAAGATATGTTTGAATTCTTGACTTTAGGTCTGAAAGTCACCTTAGAAGTTATCTATGCTGTAGATTCTATGGCACACTCACTTTTATAGACATAATGTTAAGGCCTCAAGAGGCTGAGTATGTCTAGATCGGATACTTTGTTACCCTACAAGATTAGAATGGTGATATCTTTGTGAACTGGGTTCTTTTTATCTTTGTATTGGAGATCCTAACATAGTCCTGATGCATAGTTGAAATATTAGTTTCATTAAATTTAGTATATTTTTCACTATACACATCATGAAATGAAAGAATAGCTGACAGACCTTTTATTTCTACCTGTGCTCTTTTGTGATGATACAAGTAATATATATTATTCTGGGAAGTCTGGACAAGTAGAAAATAAAAATTGTCATTAAAAGGGTCGTTTTAAAAACCATACTACTTAGCGACAAATGAAGCCTTGGAACAAAATTATTGGTGTTGAATCATAACAAAGCCACTCTTGATTATTCTAGAATGGATTAAGGGCATATACCATGGTCCCATAGGACCTTCAGAATGCTCACATCTTCAGTGGCATTCTGTAATAAAGCAGTGACTAGTAATGGGAGGGCTGTAAGAAAGAAGCCACACCATGGAATTGAGCTACCTAGTTACTGAAAGAAAAGCTACTTTGGGAAAGCAAACCCACCCCCACACCCCAATCCAGTATACCTCGTTTTTTGCACCATCCTCTTAAGTCTGAGGCTTTGCTCATCTCTGAAACTTTGCACTTCATCATACCTGAAACTTTGCACTTAGGAATAATATCTAAACTTATGAGGTGAACTATTTTTTAAATGATTATGTGAAGTTTTTCTCTGGGAAGCTTTATCCCCTATTCTTTAATATGTATGTATGTATTTTGAAAGTTGATTTTCAGTAAGTAACCTTTTATATTAAGGGTGTTAATCCTTTGTCTAATGTGGTGCAGATCTTTCTGATTTGATAGATTGTGAATTTCTCTAGGTCAGGGACCATGTGTAGAAGATAGTTTACAATGCAAGTAGTATACATTTTACAATTTGTTGAGGGTAGATCTCATGTTTTTTGTTAAGAAAACCCCAAAAGGACATAAGGAAACTTTAGAAAGTGTTGGCTGTATCTATTACCTTGATTGTGGTGATGGTATTATGGATATATGCATATGCCCAAACTCATCAACTTGCACACATTGAATATGTGCAATTCTTTGCATGACAAGTATACCTCAGTAAAACTATTAAAAATCCCAACATACTGTCTAGCAAATGGTTTATTATATTTGCATCGAATGGTTAATGACTTTTATTGTAAGCAAAGAAATTACAGTATTAGATTTATTGAGTACAAAAGTCAATTACAGTAGGAGGACTATGTCTAAAGGAAGAAAATTCAATTAGAAGGTTGTTTTAGTAATCTACTTAAAACTATGCTTAGATTCCTGGCTTAGGCAGTAGGACAAGTAGTAGTCCCTTCACTAAGAAAAAAAAAAAACAACAGGAAGGAAATTCTTCTTTGGGAAGATGATGACCACCTGAGTATGGTGTGCAGGTTAGACAGCCATGTAGATAACATCAATATAGAAATGGCTAAGTAGTTTTGGATTCTCTATCTGAGCTAAACAAATTTGTGAATGATCATAGAGAATGTGGTTATTGAAGCTTAGGGTAGTAAATATACCTACAGAAAGTATTTCAATTTATTTTATGTAAACATATCTATGTATGCATATTGATCAATATTAACTGTAAGTCATGATAAAGAACTGTGGTTTTAATCATTGATAACATAAAACATAATTTGCAAGCTACTTGTAAATAATGATGACCCTAATAAATAGAACGATGAAGGTCATCAGTGGTTATATTTTAATGTCAAATAGTTTAGTTCAATTTAAACAAATATTTCTTGAACAGTTCTTAGAATTTGTGTTGCTTTTATTCCATGGTAGTATCACAAGGACAAAAACATCACTTTGAGAAGAACTGCACTTAAAATGTTTATTGTAAACTAGAAATCATAGTATCAGGTTTGTAGAATACAAAAATCAATTGCAGTGTAAATAGTGGGCTTTAGGGAAATGTAACTAGAGGGAGGAAAAAATCCAGTTGGAATGTTGACTTACGTGGTTTTAAGAGAGGGACTGATACGTTCAGGGCTATGTTTTAAAGAGGGTACCCTGCAGGATGGTAGATGAAGTCAAGGATGGCAAATCTAGATATGGAAATAAGAAAAATGGATTATTTTGATAGTATAATACTAGGATAATTACCAAGAAATGGTAAATATGGACTTAGGTCTCATGTTAGCTTTTGAACTTACTAGGTGATAAGGCTGGAAATCTACAAGGGTCAAAACTGGTTTCTTAGTTGGGTATATAAAGAAGGATGGTGTGTTCGGTGAAAGAGGAAATAAAGGACATCTCATAGTTTTAAAAAAAAAAAAAACAAAAACTTCGGAGTATGGTTTTCTGATTTCTGGATTCTGGCATCTAAACTTGTAGATAATATGGTATACTAGAAAAGAATAGACATCCTGCCCTCAAATTCCTAAAAGGTTATTTTTGGACATTAAGTTCTAGTTCCTACTCTTTTTTTCTGTGTATAGAAGGTTAGAAGAGTTGAAATTACCTTTGTGAATCTGAGCTATGAATCCATCTACATGTAAAACCCTGCTGAAGTGAGATGAAATGGATTTTTCTTAAGTACATAAGTACAAAATACATTTTTAAAGAAGTGAGTTATTTCTTTCCATTTTACTCTGGGTGTTTCATATTCTTAAGTTATTTTGGATGAGTACATTTGCAGTATTTTTGGTGATTTTTTTTTTTATTTGAAACTAAATAAAATCCCTAATTCATTTTTAATGGTTTTAGTTTTGATTGCTTCTTATATAAAATATTTAGTAAATAGTTGTATCTTTTAATCATACATTATTTTATGAGAAACTCTTGACTTTGAATCAGGTAATTATAAATTGATTTTTAAAGTCAGTGACGGCTTTAATTCTTGTCATGTAGTGAAAGTGTTAATTCCTGTAATGGATTAATGCCTGAAATACTGAATTCAGAGACTGGCTAAAAATTTAACATCAAAAGAAATCTTGTAATTTCTGTTTGAATTCTTTAAAAATGAGGAAAGCCTTTTCATAATCTATGTCTAATTAAGTCTTCAAAGTTACTTATAAATAGTGTATAAAAGTAATGTAATCAGATTACAAACAGCAGTATAAATACAGTGCTTGATAACTGGGTAAAATTTTTCATATTAAAAATTTAGACTGCTAAACATATATTATATACATTAATAGTTTAAACATACCTTGTATTAATAATTACTTTTCCATACATATAGTACAAAATTAATCATAGTAAAAATAAATATGGTTTTAAAAAAGTTTACTTGGTAAGTGCACAGTTCAGTGACAGTCAAAGAATTCTGTTAACACTAACAGTGGTGAAGAGATACGAAGCAGGGAGAGTTAACTCTTGTTTACCAGAGCCTAGTTTTAGCTGAAATGAAACAGAGCTTAAAACTTGTAAATTGAGTTGTAAGTGGAAGACTGTCTGCTATTGATAGTCATGCAACTTATTCATCTTTCACTTGTCTTTTCACAGAGCTCCTTAATAAGCATTTATACTCAGTTTTTGGCAGCAGTGGAATCACTGAAGACATTCTGGGATGTAATGGATGAAATTGATGAGAAGACTTGGGTACTTGAGCCAGAAAAACCTACACGGAGTGCTACAGCACGCAGAATTGTATTAGGTAGGGTAAAAGAGGATTTAAGGGTTTTTTTTTTTTTATTTTTTAAAGGTGTTTGAGTATATTTTATATTACTTTGGAAAAGGAATCTAAGATGACATTGGATTTTAGATGAGACTTTTTTTGTATGAGGGATGAACTATGATTTATTAGTACATATTTAAATGTAAATATTTTAAGTAGAAAGGATAAGTACTGAGGTGTTTCATTATAAAAGGTGATGATCTAATCCATGGATGTAGCATTTGGAGATAGCATTTAATTAGCATGGAAATTATGGAGTAGATTTTTTTAAAACTTCCATTACTTGGGAAAAGCTGTTAGAAATAACGAAGTCTTCATTTGTGAAACTAGACAAGATTAGTATGAACAATCTGGGAATATTTTCTAACAGAAATATAGAGGAGGATAAAAGAACCTGAAGTGGGCCATGCATGCCATTGAAGAGTAAAAAGAAAGCTTTACAAAATAATAATTGAATATATTTTAAGTATTATAGTACTTAGTATTAAGTATATATTAATTAATAATATTAAGTATTATATAATAAATTTTCTTACTATAAATATATGAAATTAATAAGATAAGGAATAACCATAAATATCATCCTGGCAATATTACCATATTCTATTTACTATGAAATTACTGGTTTATATATTATCATTATGAGCAAGCAATACATGAAATCAGTTTTAAAGTTCAACCTTTCAAGATTTTAGATGTTTTAAAACTATATTTGAGATGACAGTAAATAAACTATAGCTGTATGAAGGATATTTTGATGTGAATCATATCCAAATTACTGAGCAGCTTGCATAGTTTCTACCCAGGCATAATAGACTATCTCGGTGGGGAAAGGGACACGTTACTAGGAGAAGAGAAGTACAGCAGTTCTATAGTACTGCACTTACTGAGTTTGAAAAAGTCTTAACAGTATTTAATTTAGAATAATTAACCAAGTTACAGTACATTTGTGAACAAGTAGATATTAAAATGAAAATATTTTCTCCAAAGAAGTATAGTATTAATGGCCCCATTATATAATTATTTCTCCAGGTTATGATTAAATACAATTTTTACTTTATTTCTCATGGTTCAGCATAAACAACCTTGGTTTTATTCACTTTCTTTATATATTTACATTTTAGTTCCATTTTTTTTCCTTCAGGCATTGGTTCTTTCCAGGACCAAGTTTTCAGCAAATTAATCAAAAGATTTGATAGTATGACCATTGTTGTTAAGTGAAAGTAGTTTCTGCAGCCATTAGCAGATGATATTGCTAAAGGCTAACGTGAAATTTGTGTTCATGGTAAAAAATGCATTAAACAGTGAGATTATAAGTTAGCTTTGTAATTTTGTTTTTCTTATTGACTTACTGTACTCATTTTTTGTTTTACTTGATTATCTCTTTTTGCCAGATTTGTAATAATTGTATTTATATTGTTGCCAACTTTAGCCAAAGGATTATGCTATAGTGTATAGAATTTATCAAGACATTTTTACCATAAAAATGAAATCCAAATTAACCTTAAACAATTACACTATATGTTCCTTCAATAAAAATAAAATTTCTGAAATTTGTATTATAGTATAGTTAAAATTTATCAAAGAATGTAGTATCAAGTAGAAATTGCTTACTTCTTAGATTACATGAACTGTTAGTTGTTTTTGATATTAAATGAAGAGTTTCCAAACATTTAATATGAATTGAACCCTTTGTTAGTCTACATAGGAAATCTTCACATGGAGAAAAAATGTTTGTATAAAATTCAAATCTTAAACATTTGTTTTTACCATTTATTGTATTTTTAGTCTTTTATGTTCTTTTCAAGAAAGTTATAGAAGTCATTTAGAGTATTTTTCAGTTTGTAACTTGTAATTTTTTATATTAAACATCTTTATCACTCCATAGAAAATTGTAATTCAAATTTTAATGGAATTCCAACCAGAATTCAGGTGGCTCAGTGGTAAAGAATCCGGCTGCCAATGCAGAAGATGTGGGTTCAGTCCCTGGGTTGGAAAGATCCCCTGGAGGAGGAAGTGGCAACCACCCCACTGTTCTTGCCTGGAAGATCCCATGGACAGAGGAACCTGGCAGGGTCTTCAGGGAGGGTCGCAAAAAGTCAGACACAACTGAGCGACTGGGCGTGCACACAGCTTATGAATTGGCACTGTCTTTTGAAACTTAGGATCCCAAATCTTTAGTCATGATCAAAGTTTTAAAATTATTTCACTTCTTTTAAATTATGAATTAGTAATGTATTTACTTTTGTAAAAAACCATATAAAACAATCTTTCCTTGGATATATAATGAACTAAGTACCCAGACAAATTACTCTTTTATATTTTTTTATGAACCATTCTATTTCTAAAAGCTTTAATATTCTTTTATTCTAGGGAATAACGTTTCAATAAATATAGAGGTAGACCCCAGGCATCCCACTATGCTTCCCGAGTGCTGTTTTCTTGGAGCTGACCATGGTATGAGATCTCAGGTTTAAATGTTTTAAACAGAATCATAAAATCCTTGTCCACTACTATAATTAAATATTCTAATGTATTATTATACTAATGGTAAATATCTTAAATGAAAATGTCTCATCGTGAACTCTGTACTTCTGTGTTTCTTTTATATATATATATATATATATATATATATATATGATTTAGATTTTCTAATCAGATAGGAAACAAAATCCTGTAATTAACAAATACTATGTATATTTCAAATTTTGTAACTGCATGATGGTAAATGTTAACTTGTGTTAATCATTTTGCAAAATACTGATACCAAATCATTATGCTGTATACCTAAATATATAATACAGTGTTATCAGTTATAGCTCAATATAGAGACAAATTCTGTGCCAAATGTGACTTTCATTTTGAAAACAGCAAACCCTAAACTGACATTTTTTTTTCTTTTTTAAAAAATATCTGAAGTGGTAAAACCCCTGGGAATTAGGCTGAGCAGAAACATACACTTGTGGTAGGTATCTTTGCAATACAATTTTTACTTTTTTCTATGATTAAACAAATTTAATAACAATTTTTTTTCATACTTTCAGGGATCCAGAAAACAGTCTGTTACAAAATTTGAAAGATGTTTTAGAAATTGACTTTCCAGCTCGTGCTATCCTGGAAAAATCTGTAAGTTTTATCAGTGCTTTGATATTCCAAATGGTATTGTATAGTGAAAATTAAATGTTCTTTTAGGCAGCAGAGAAAAATGAGACTGAGAAGGAAGGAACTGGAAGAATATTACAACAGATTTCTGAACTGCAAGCAACAGTTGCATCAAAGAACTTATTAACCTTTGATTGGTGTTATGAGTGTATTTTTTTCATGGTCTTCAAGCAGTGAAGTGATTAATGACATCTTTATTATTAAAAATAGGGGGAAAGTTCCAGTATAGATAATGAGATGTTTGGATTTTCTATACTGTCTACTTATGCATTACTGAAATAAAGTTCTAATTAGTTTGAAAGAATTCTTTGTGAAAGATGGCAGTATAGTTTTTCAAAACTGAATAGATACCACTACACCGCAAAAATAATAGATTTATGATGAATGTAGACTACTAAATTGGTGGGATGTTTTTGTCTTTTTCCTTTAGTTACAGACTTCTGAAGTTTAGTATAATCACAAACTGATGTCGGTTCCTGTTTTTGCATTCTATCGTAGCATTATATTGATGTACAAACTAGGAAAATTACTTAAGTCCAAACATCTAGTGAGCCAGAAGTAGAACCTGGTTTTTAGTATATCTGTGTATATTATTTACTGGATGAAAAAGGAAGCCTTCTCTTGCAAGGAGCTTTTCTAAGGTGTTAAACAGTGATGTGACTGTATTTTCTATAAGATAGCAATATAAATTTATAAAAATGTTATAAAAAGCTAACACCATATTCATTCTTTTTTTTTCTTCACCTTGTGTAGTCTTTTCCTCCCACCCATCCCCGAATATTTCTTTTCTTTTGAAGGATTTTTCTATGGATTGTGGGATTTGTTATGCCTATCAACTTGATGGTGCCATTCCTGATCAAGTGTGTGATAATTCACAGTGTGGCCAGTCTTTCCATTATATATGCTTATATGAGGTAAAAATAAAAATATCAGCAAAACTTAACTGCATAGGAAATACATGTGAAATCTAAAATAAAATCTGTTTAGTCAATAGTGATCATCTTTTTTGCCATTAGCTCCTTTACCATTCATTCCAAATGCCCTGTTTCATTTCTTCATGGTTACTGATGAACTGAGAAATGTTCTGAAGTATCCAAGAAGGGGGGACATGTATCTAGACTATATTCATGGACTTTTCATTGATGTATAACAAATTAAAGATTCTGATGGAACATTGGAATCTTTGTGTAAATATCTCATGTAACTACAATGTAGACTCAACCAAGTAGGACTAATGGTGGCAATAAAGTGAAAGGGAGCTAGTACTACAGAGTACCTGTTACTTTTCAAGCTATATTTAAGTATAGAATAAATGTAATAATCCTACTTTTGGTATTTAGAATGTGTTTTGTGATCTGAATATCTCACAACACTTAGTCAGTGACACTTTACTTACTATTTATTGTATGTTAAGTCTGCTTTCATTCCTGTCTACAGTCACTTGCTCTCTAGCATTTATTTTAGGGCACAGTGGACATATAATTAACTATGTGTGCATCTGTCTATAAAAATAACCTGTCATTGTATAGTGCTTTCACTGTTCAAAGACTTCCTTAAAATCACCTCATGATTTTTGTGATTAGTTTAGTGGCTGGTGCTATCTGCAGTTTAACAGTGGAGAATTTAGGTAGGGATGTCAATTTACGTTATATAAAATCATAAAATATGAGGTCTAATTATAGAGATACTCTTAAGGGAACATATGCTTTCTTTTGTAATAATGAAAATTCATTTAATTTTTAAAAATGAGTTGCCTCCTGCTTGTAATTAATGGGTTGAGAATTAACCCTACTACTGGTGATTAAGATCAGAATTAAGACCTAAATTTTAAGAGCCTATGGTATCTTTTATAGCAGGAGTTCTTCATTTGTGATTCATGGATTTAGGTTAGGTCTGTGAACTCCACTGATTTGAACACATTATTTTTGTGTACAGCTGTTCTAGGGTAGAGAAGGTCCATACATTTTATCAGATTCTTAAAGGGGCCTGTAATTTGGTTATAAATCAGTGGTACAGACCTTAAAATCCATACTGGTTTCCCCTTGTTTTTCAGCATTTTAGTAGTTTGGTATTGGCTCAGAAAATGTTCCTCTTACTCTTGCAAAAGAAAATTAAGAAGGCGAATCTTCTGACAAAAATATAATGTATTCAAAAAGAATGAAATGATATTTGGAATACCTGTAATCATGTTGACATCTTTCCTTCTCTGTTCAAAATTTTCAGTGGTTGAGAGGACTACTGACTAGCAGACAGAGTTTTAACATCATATTTGGTGAATGTCCGTATTGTAGTAAGGTAAGCAAATTATTTGTCACATTTCATAGAACTGTATCTAGCTTTCAGTAATGTGGTTTAGAAAATATATTTATATAGTATAGTATAGAAGATTTATATATATAGTACATATAGTATATAATTTTATAGTGTATCAGTATATATAAAACTTTTAGAAACATTTGTCAATTTATTTAAAAAAAATTTCTAAGATAAATTTGCCTCTATTAATATTTTAATTTACAGATTTCTCTTTTGATCAAAAATAGGTTAACCACTTTTTTAGTTTTCCTAGATGATCTGAATCTTAAGTATTTTATCTTATTTATTAACTTTCATTATACCATTTCTAATATAAAGCATCCCTCTCTTTCTATAAGCCAATTACCTTGAAAATGTCTGGGAGAAAAGCCTGAAATAAGAATGCAGCAGTCCTGTGAAGAGCCAGAAACTTAAATTATCAAAAGGATTTTATTTGATAACTTCAGAGAAAATATAAAGCAAGACATACTAATATCAAAAGAAAAATAATGGTGAAGCTGTAATAATATATATCCACTTTTATCTCTTCACTAAATGTAAATTGGGACACTGTAAACCAAAATCCTGTAGAACTGTCTAATTCTGTGACCTCCATACCAGTTGTAGAAGTGTCTGTGTACCAAGATGGAGAGCTTGACTTGTTGAATATATCTGGATTGGTAAAATCTTGATGGGGTTCATAACATGAATTTGGGAATTGTATACAGCTGGATTTGTGTGGAGAACTTTTTACATCATTTTGAAATTCTTGAGACTCACAATATTTTTGTCTTCTTCTTGTGCTTTCCTATGAGAAAATACATATTTATTACATGTTAGGTTTGAGTTATCCAAGTACTTTAGTATACTCTTTAAGAATGCTAAATAAAATGTGTTACATAAGATCAAGTTTTTGTGTGCTTTTTATTTTTCCTGAGAAGTTATTTTTAGGTTCTGGATTTTAAGTATTTATAAAGCATCAAACAATCAATCTGGTTAATTTGATTGGATCTTTTAAACCAAGAAGTAGGCTATTTCTTAAATAATCTAAAAATAGGATAGCATATGAAAATAATGATTTTTTGGCAAGGAAAAAACCAGGCTTAATCTTATGAGGATAAGAACAGTCATAGTTAGAAGGCTTTTTGGTCAGTAATAATTAAGGATACTAGAAGCACTGGAGCAAGATGGTACTTGTGTACTGTGCACCCACATAGAGAGGTATCGGCCAGTGGCCTGTCCACTGTAGCTTCCTGCCCAAGCACCAGTATCTTCCCATAACAGACCTCAAGAAGACAGCTGGAAAAATCTATTTGTTCAGAAATTGACCTGAGAAAAGATGCTCACTCTAATCTCCTATGCAAAAAGGAATCAGTCTATACAAGTTAGTTTTACCATGCCCAAAGAGACGTCTTGACATCTCTGGCTTTTCCATTAAGAAATTACTGAGATAATTATAAACTACTACCTGAGAGCTAAGAAAGTCACACAAATGAAAGTTTCCTAAAGTTTTGTCAGCTTAATTCACTAAAAAGGCAAAATGAGTTAATAGTTTTTCCAGTAGGCCAATAAGCATAGTTATTTCACAAAGAAATATACCATCAAATCATATTTCTAAAGGATAAGAGCCACAGGTAAGCTAACTTAAACAGTATTTACATACAACTTAACTTACATGTAGAAATGAATGATCTAGTTAGTCCCCAGCTAGGTAAAAACAGAAGTCGACTACTGAAATTTCAAGACAGTCCTCTCCTGTATGACCTACATACCTTGTCTCTCCTTAACCAACAACAGATGATGTCAAATGGAAAAGCACTCATAGAAGGATTTAACCCTCAGCTGTCTTCCTGAGAGCTCTGATTGGGAAAGACACTCTATGGTAGGATTGGAAAAGTGGCTCACTGTCTGCCTGTTTATGAGTAAAGTTTTATTGGTACACAGCCCTACTGACCACCACTACCTTGCATTAAGCAAGAGATAGCAAACAGACAGCATCTCACATCCTTCTTACTAGAAAACACTGCTTTTAGTAATTAACTGAGAACTACTAGACATAAATGGCAAAAGGCAAAAAAACTGGAAGAAACTCACATGTTCTTCAACACTACATCCATACCTCAGAATATACCACCTAGCAATAAAAAAAGAATGAACTATCAATAGATGCAAAATTTGGATGGATCTCACAGACATAATGGGGAAAGAAATAAAGCCAATCTGAAGTTACGTAATGTATAATTTGGTTTATACTGACATACTCAAAATGACAACATTACAGTGATGCAGAACAGACCAATGCTTTCCAGGGTTTGGGATTGGGGAGACCATGTCACTGTAAAGCAAAATGAATTCAGTTATCATTACCAGGATACTGAAGATGTTAAAAGTATAAAAGAATATTATGAACTACACAGTGCTGCCAGATTTGACAAGTTAAATGAAATGGACAAATTCCTTGAAAGATCAATTACCAAAACTGACATAAGAAGAAAAGAAAATCTAATAATCACTATATTTGTGACAGTAAATTCATAATTTAAAATTTTATAATGAAACTATAGACGATAGTTTTCTTGCTAAACTCTCATTCATGAAAGACAAATCTTATTGAAACATTTTCTGAAAATAGATACTTCCCTCTAATGTAACTTGCACAGTGACTGGAAGACAAAACCACACAAGGATACTGAAACACAAAATTACAGACCACTATCTCATCAACAGAAATATAAGAATCTATAATGGAAAAACAGCAAATTGAATTCAGTAGGACCACACATTATAATTAAGTGGAGTTTATTATACTAGTAAAGATGAAAAATTGTATGATCTGAACACATCCCCCAAAATAATACCCATTCCTGACTAAAATTTATTCTTCGGTAAACTATAAATACAATGAAATTTCCTCAGCCTGATGATAAAAGGCATTTAGGAAAAATCTACAGCTAACATCATACTTAATGGTGAAAGAATGAATGCTTTCCCCCTAAAATGAGGGATGTAAAATGGATGCCCTCTCACTACTACATTGAATAGTCAATATAGTATTAGAGGTCCCAGCAGGTGTAGTAAGACATGAAAGAAATGAAAGACATGTACATTAGGAAAAAAACTTTCAGAAAACATGATTGATTATGTAAAAAATCCTAAGGATACAAAGGAGCTACTAGAATAGTGAAGTGAACTGCAGGAAGATCTCAAGACACAAGGGCATTAAAATTTTATTTCTATATACCAGCAACAAATAACTGGAATATGAAGTTTTTGAAAAATGACATTTAAAATAGGATTAAAAACCAAAATACTGAGAGATCATTTTAATGGAAGCAGTGTAGGCTATCTACACTAAAAAACATTGTTTATGGGGAGGGAGGTGGGAGGGGGGTTCAGGATGGGAACGCATGTAAATCCATGGCTGATTCATGTCAATGTATGGCAAAAACCACTACAATATTGTAATTAGCCTCCAACTAATAAAAAAAAGAAAAAAAAATGTTTAAAGAAATAAATGGAGAGAAGTGTCAGGTTCTTGCATTGGAGAATTCAATGTTGTTGGGATTTCAGTTCCCTTGAGACTGATCTTTAGATTCAGTGTAGTCCCAATTAAAATCCCACTGTGCTGTTTAGTGGAAACTGACAAGACGATTCTTAAATTTTAAATTTTTTTACCAGGATTTAAAATGGCCATGGCATCTTTGAAGAAAAGAAAGGGGTTGAAGGACTACCTGATCTTAGAACTAAGGATAAACAAATAAATTGATCGAAAAGAGAGTCTAGAAATAGACCCATTTATATAGTCAGCTGACTTCTGAAAAGGGCTCCAAAGAAATTTAATTAGAAAAATCTAAAAGTATGGTACTCTGGGACTTCCCTGGTGGCCCACTGGCTAAGATTCTGTGCTTCCAAAGCAGGAGGCCTGGGTTCGATCCCTGGTCAGGGAACTAGATCCCACATGCCACAGCTAAGACCCACTGCAGCCAAATAAATATTAAAGAAACAGTACTGGGATAACTGGCTTACAACATTGAAAAAATGAACATCAACCTCTATGTCACACCATACCCAGTTGATTTGAGATGGCTCATAGACCTAAATATGAAAGCTAAAACTACAGACCTTCTAAAAGATACCAAAATAACTTTGTGATCTTCAAGTAGGCAAATTGATACACTGAATTTCAAATAAAAACAAATAGTTTTTGTTCATAACAGACTAAACGGGCAGGATGCACACAAGGAGAACACTTCTGCAATACAGATATTGAAGAGGGGACGTGGAATATGTAGAGAATTCCTACAACTTAAAGAACAACTATCCAAATAAAAGACAGAAACACTTGAAAGGGCACTTCACAAAAGAAGCACTATGAGTGGACAGTCAGCACAGGAGAAGGTGCTTGCCATGACTAGTTATCAGGTAGGTGGTAACTGGAATCATTGTGAGATACTAATACACAAAACACTATAATGGCTAGAAAGACTTACAAACACCAAATAGTGGGGAGGGAGGATGTGCAATGGCTGGAATTTGCATACATTATTGGTGGGAGTATAAAATGGCAAGTTGTTAGCTTTTTGAAATGGTGAACATACATCTCTCCTGTTAGCCAGCAATTCCACTTCTCAGGACAAACAGAACATATCCATAGAAGGACTTGTGTCATAACTGCAGACAGTGACTGTGGCCATGAGATTAAGATGCTTGCTCCTTGGAAGGAAAACTATGATAAACTCAGACAGCATATTAAAAAGCAGAGACCACTTTGCTGACACAAGTCCATATAGTTAAGCTATGGTTTTCTCAGTCATGTATGGATATGAGAGTTGGACCATAAAGAAGGCTGAGTGCCAAAGAATTGATGCTTTTGAACTGTGGTGTTGGAGAAGACTCTTGAGAATCCCTTAGACAGCAAGGAGATCAAAGCAGTCAGTCCTAAAAGAAATCAATCCTGAATGTTCATTGGATGCTGAATGCTGATGCTGAAGCTGAAACTCCAGTACTCTGGCCGCCTGATGCGAAGAGCTGACTCACTGGAAAAGACCCTGATGCTGGGAAAGATCAGGAAGAGGGCAGGAGGAGAAGGGGACGACAGAGGATGAGATGGTTAGATAGCATCACCGACTCAATTACATGAATTTGAGCAAACTCCGGGAGATAGTGAAGGACAGAGGAGCCTGGGGTGCTGCAGTCCATGGCGTCAGAGTCTGACACTACTTAGCAACTGAAGAACAGGAAGAAGGGTCAGGGGAAGCCCAGGTGCCCACTAATAGGAGAATGTATATACAAGTTATGATGTAACTATACAATGGATGTAACTATACAACTCAACACGAAAAAGAACAATAATATGGAGAAATTTCAAGAAACCATGCTGAGTGAAAGAAGCTAG